TGCTTCAGGTACTGGCCTCAGTGACTGCACGTCCTGGGACTCGGCCTATTGAATCATAAGTGGTATTTAATTAAAATACTTACTCTAGGAAACAATTGTATTTATAAAATAGAATATGCTAGTACAGACCTAATTTCACCAAATAGAGTGAAATCGATGTGAGAAATCTTCTCACATTTTTTTTTATCCAGACGGATCCGCGCCGGCCAATGGTGGAAAATGTTGTCATCGTGCTTCTGCTGTTCTTATTGTGCCAGAATCATCAGCATACTTGGACTTGCATGCGTGTATGTTTTGCAGCTATATCAGACTCGCAACGCGTTCATTCTTCATCCTGTAGTTTCTCATTCCCATCATGGCCATCCAAGCCCAAGACCTGACGTACGACGATTTGGTAAAGGTGGTTGAGCCGTTGGTTTGCAAAGCTTTAGCGGGCATCTTCGATCCCGTGACTCTACCTCTTTTGGAAATGTCGGCATCGGATAACCCTTCCGTACATTTGTTCGATGTGATCACTAGCTACCGTCCCAGCATTGATTTTCGTGATCTGGACTCCAAGTACAAGCAGGCGATCATCAACAATGATCTTGATCTGCTTCCCGAGCCTTTTCGATCAAAAGTACAGCTTCCCAAGGACACCAAGTTGCAGATCTTTATCTTTCCTTGCTCCAATGGTTGTCACTACATTGTGAAGCACTTCATCTTCAGCACCAAGTGTAAGCCCAATGTGTTTATGGAGGCTGTGTATGGCAAAGCCCATATATATTGACAGCTTCCACAACGTGTTCTGTGACTGGGCAAAACTCCAAATCACTCATGGCTTCGATGGTACATTCTTCAAGGCCTTGGAGAAACCCACTACTTCGATGACCATCTCTCCCAAGAAGCGGCCCGCCTCTACTACCAAGAGACCTGCGTCAGCCTCAAAGACACCAGCCTCTCGCAAAAAGCCAGCCTCGTGCATGAAGAAACCACCCTCCGCAATCTCATCTAACAAGGCTCGTATCTTCGTCGTGGACGAGAGCCACCTCAATAAGCACAAGCCGGGCAAACTCTCTAAATAGGGCCGCCCGCAGAAGGATCAGATTTGGATATGGGGCGCCGTGCTCCAAGGTAATATGTCCACCCACTTCATGTTCAAGATCCTTAAGCATCCGGCCGACGCCCTGGATGGCAAACCCAGGGGCCACAAGGAGATGCTCCATAATCTACGCTCTCGGGGGCTTCGGCGTCATGATATCTTGGTGTCAGATAAGTGGAAAGTCACAGTGTCGTCTGCGGAGACTCTCAGTCGCGACATGCCCTTCGAGCACCAAATCGTTAACCACAGCGCCGGCGAGATTGTGAACTCTGATGGATACACCACGAATCCCATCGAGGCCAAATGGTCCGTAATGAAGAGGTGGATTCGTAAGCGAAATGAAGGCAAACTTCCCAGTCATTCTGATCGCCAGAAATGGACCAGTCTCATCTATGAGTATCAAGCT